GAAAACCAGTTTGCAACCACCTTTTTAAAAAAAAACCAAGATTATAGTAATACCAGTTTTGGTTCAAACTAAAAAGATCCAATCCACTGATTTAAATAGATGAAAGAATTCCCAATATTGTCAAAATATGAAAACTCACTAGCTTGGTTATTATCCACATTACCAGCATTTCATTTAACTTAGACCCATTGCAAAGTGTTGAAACAAGCTTCTTGGCAAAAATATCTCTTGCATGGGCTTTCTAAATAACATGCAAGTGATCAACAGTTATCAAGTTTTGATACTTACTGTTAACATGTGTTCAAGCCAAAGTGGGTTTCAGCAGCCCACCACCTCTGTATGGTTGCTGGAAAACCCAAAGAAGGAAGCAGGTGCTCATGCTAGCCTTGTTATCACTCGCTTGGAGGCTACAGACACCCTTTTCCTACAGGTGCCATGAATCAGCCTCTCAAAATTGGCTTCTCTCACCCACCTGAATCTATTTACTGATTTTACTTGCAAAGAATGTCTGTAACCACCAACACTAAGGGAAAAAAATTATTGTGGCAGTGAAAGGCATAAATCAACAATTACATTCATAAAACAAGTGCAAAATTTAATCTAACCACTGTTTTATAGGGCTAGAAATCAGGTTTAAGTCCAATTCACATGGCAGAAGAATTTCTTTCATATCCATCTTTTAATTTAGCTGAAAAATGCATAGAAGGCTGTATACATAACATTCCCATTCATGGGAACCTACACCATCTAACCAGATATTGTGCTGTTGGCACTGGGAAAGGACTTTGAATACCACGATCATGTAACACCTTGTTTGTACTCTTCTTTCTTCTCACAAAATGTACTCATGGAGTCTGGTTCAAATTTACATTTACACACAGGAATCTGACTTCTACAAAATCAGACCATTTATCCATCCAATTCAGTATTTTCTGCACTACAAGTACCATTCTTGTAGCATCAGAATCTCTGTCATTCAAAAACAAAACTCGATCCAAGACGTAGTTACACAGTGTCTCATTACCTACACTGTCAGAATACTTCAGTCTCAATTTTGTACCTGGTGGCAACATCCTTTGAATTATTTCCTTAATGAGACTTTGAGGCGAAGCCATATGATTAGTCCAACTGCCTGACATTTTAGTATTGACCAGCAGTGCTGTAAATAAACCCAATGGGCCACAGGAACGAGCTTGATATCGTTCCTCAAATGTTCATATCGTTATCTTGGGAAGTACTGAAAAAGGTTCCAAGTGAGTCTAAGGCTGGGGTAGCCAGGGTGACTGCCAGATGCTGTTGAATCACACACTGCTACATTTGATCTCAGGCATTAGCTTTCTTGGTAGACACCTTAACTATACCACACAGAGCTAAGACACCTGCAGAACTCCCCAATAAATTCCCCAAGTAACCAACAGGGTATTTCATTACCCTCATGAAAATATGTGGAAGCATGCAAGATCTAAACGAATACAGAACTCATCATTAGACAGAAGAGCAGTGTAACTGATCCCCCAGCAGTGTGGTTTAGACTAAACATACTGCAATGTTCAAAGTATTATATTGTGCACACGAAGAGCTGGTTGAGAATTATATATAGCAACTACAGTGTTTGCACGTTATGTATAACACATAACAGTATCCCATTTGGGAGAAGTGCTAGTTCCCTGCCTGTGACAAAACAGTCATGTGCAACTTCAGCCATGTGCTGATTCCACCATTCAGCATGCATTAACATGTGCAAGCTTCTAAAGGTAAAGGTACCCCTGCCCGTCAGGGCCAGTCATGTCCGACTCTAGGGTTGCGCGCTCATCTCGCTCAAGAGGCCGGGAGCCAGCGCTGTCCAGACACTTCCGGGTCACGTGGCCAACGTGACAAAGCTGCATCTGGCGAGCCAGCACCAGCGCCGCACATGGAAACGCCGTTTACCTTCCCTCTAGAAAGCGGTCCCTATTTATCTACTTGCACTTAGGGGTGCTTTTGAACTGCTAGGTGGGCAGGAGCTGGGACCGAACGACGGGAGCTCACCCCGCCGTGGGGATTCGAACTGCCGACCTTTCGATCTGCAAGTCCTAGGCTCTGTGGTTTACCCACAGCACCACCCGTGTCCCTGTGCCAGCTTCTGGTGCTCCTTAAAAGCAGAGGCTGAAATAAGTGTCTGATTGTAGGCAAAGATCCATGCTACTTAGGCTTCTCTAGTTGCTTTTCCTGCTGCTTCCCATGTTCAATTGTTGTGAATAGCTCTAAGAATAGATCTAGTAAAACAGCTACAAACAAACATGCCACTTTTTTAAAAAACAAAAACCAGGATCGATCACTAAATGCTAGGAATAAATTACCCAATTTTTCTTGGGTTGGTGGTTTGCTTGTTTTCAATAGTCTCTACAGTATTAGTTGTGCAGGAAATAAAAGGCAAACAGTCCATTGACCAAGTTACATAATCTGAAAATAATTGTGGCTCCAGTGTTCACATATGAATGTTCTGTTTTAGACTAGCCTGTGCCTTTAAAAAGAAATAGAAGAAAGCCTGAGAACTAGCAGGTCCAATCCAAATTATAAGCAAATGAATAAAACAGCAATGCTCTTAAAAACTGGTATATCACATAATTGGCATTGCTCAAAGTTCAATTTGCAACTGCAGTCATACCTTGGGTTACAGATGCTTCAGTTTGTGCATTTTCGGGTTGCGCACCACGCCAAACCTAGAAGTACCGGAACGTGTTACTTCCGGTTTTTGGCGCTTGTGCATGCTCAGAACCGCTCAATCGCACTTTGCACATGCGCAGAAGCGCCGAATTGCGACCCATGCATGGGTTGCGAATGTGCCTCCCACATGGATCACCTTCACAACCCGAGTGTCCACTGTACTATCCTAAATGCAACTTTTCACATCTATCATTGCACTCTCAAACGACATTTTACAATATTCATCATATGCCCAAAGTACGGCATCTTGTGCATTTTGAACAAATACAAAGACAGGAGCAATAGCAACACAAAAGCAATCTGTATGAAATACCGTACTCCATTTCACAGACGAAACATACTGTGAGTATTGTGAAAATATATTCCCAAATGAGAAGCACAATCACAAGGGGGCACTGAGTACAACAGTGAAAAATAGATGTGCAAAAAATGGATCATATCAAAAGATACTAAGAAAAAATATTACATCCTCCTCCTTTTCCTTGTGAAAGAGAGATGATTTTATGAAAAGCAATTGGAGAATTGGGAAATGAGATCCTGTTTATTAGCCAAGTACCTTGATAAATTATGAGGATTATGGAGATTGTATTATGTTGCTGTTTTCAGAGATCTCTCCTCTTTCTATTCACCACCAAACAGATGATCAGTGCTAAAAGGAAGAATAGATTTGGTCTCCTATACAAAAACCAAATGTGCTGTGGTAGCTGACTGTGCTTATGTGGTTTTCAATGTTGGGGGTTTTCTCATCACCACAATCTCTTGTACATGCAGGGTCATATCTGTTTCCGAAACAGAAAACCACACACAAAATCCTGTATCTGCACTTACACCTGCTAAATTAGGATGCTTGTACAAAATGACAAGATGACATCAACCCAAAACTTTTAAGAAAATATCCATACTTTTACTAGATAAACTGCTCTTTTTCCCTTGCAAAAGGTGCAACTTTTAAGGTCAAGTACTGACATTACAGTGAGCCTTCTTACACAAACATTTTTAATAATCCAACAAAGAAAGAACACACTGAATGTGTCACTGTTGCTTCAGTCGCAAGAGCTGGACTCACTTGAATCTTCTACAAGACCGAAGATGGCAATGATCAAGATTTTGGAAACCACTGCTTAGCAACATATGCTTCCTTGAGAAACTTAAAATGAGGAGGGTTGTTTGTATCTATGGGCACTGCAGTTCCCACTAAACCTCAAAAGGTACAATACTACGTCCCAACTCCAGCTGTGGACAACAGATTAGAACAGTGCCAAGAGATAGACCGGCAGAGCAAATTCTGTATTAAAATTTATGTGGAACCATCTGGCAGCTAATAGCGGTGAACGAACAGGCCCCATTGGGCCACAAGAATTAGGGAAGCCCAGAAGCTCCTTCAACTACTGGACTTTATTAACACAAAGTACTTTTGTTATTCTGATTCTTAATTTTTTATTCAGATGCAAACTTGAAAATAGATGCATTTTCTTCAGCTGATATGCAATTCAATCAACTAACACGTTGCTGCTAAAATGGCACGATTGGCATTTCAGGAAAAGAAAGCACTTAAACTGCTGATGGTAAATGGAAGTTTCCATAATGTCTTCTGAGGAAGTGAAACAGAAGACTCCAGTTGCCATACCAAAAAATAGTAGAAAAGAGATTCAGCACCATAGGTCATTTTGAAAGCAAGGGTGGGGAACCTGTGACTCCCCTCCTCCTATCAGTCCCAGCCAATGGCCAAGGATGATGTGAGTTGTAGTCCATCATCATCTGGGGGGCCACTGGCTGCCCACCTGTGTTGTAAATACCAATGAGTGGGATGGATACAAGTCATTTGCACATTTCATGAAATTAGCAGATGCCAAATTGTGATTGGTTCGGAAGCTGTTCTTATTTTGTAGTACACTTATGGCCTGTAGGTTAAGTCAAACTTTTTTGGGGGTGGGGGGCTGAATCACGATGGTCCTTCACAGACATAGGGCAATTTTTGCGATCCCATTTTCACACTTGGAGCCATGAGGACTACAAACTTTTAAAGACAATGCAAGAATTTGTAAGGAGTCCACAGAAACATCAAATGGGGTCCACATGTTCTCCACCCCAAACAAAATATATGAATGCTGTGAAATATCTCAAGAGTTAAAAACTTTTCTGTTTGTTTTTTTAAAAAGTGATTAAATAAAACTAGAATACTAGCAGTGGTTTCACAGTCATGGAAAAAATGGAAAATAAAAGCAGCAGTACTCTTACTTACTAATACTGCTATTAACAACTTATTGTTATATTAAAAAATAAAGAACCCAAGAGACGTTTTCATTAATTATTATATTTTCTGCATTATAGTTTAACATATGTACTTTCTTCGTGTCATCCTTATTTTCGTTAAGTATTGGTATTTTGTTATATTCAGACAGGAGTACATTTTTGGAACAGTCCTTTGTAATAAATATCATAAAATAATAGAAATTCACATAATAAATATTCTTTACAATAAAAAAGTTTTAACAGACCTTTGTCTTAAAATAGTCAGAATTCAACTTTGTGTTTTTACATAAAATATACAAAAAGCACCACAATTTGTGGCTAAGGCAATAAAAACAGAGGATTAAAGTTATCGAGCACAGAGTAGAGTTAAATGTCATTAAACCACAGAAATAATAGAAGTGTTAAAGAGATCCAAGAATGTTTACACAACTTAAAACTGTATGATACCTGAAGAGTATTACTCAGATGTGCAGAAATCAACAACTTTAGCATCAAAAGAAGAGAAAAAAAGGGGGGAGTGAAAACTTAGGACCTTGTACAAATCTGAAAGCTATAGAAACCAATGAAGAAAGCTGTAGTCATAGAATCATAGAATTGTAGAGTTGGAAGGGACCCCAAGGGTTATCTAGTCCAACCCCTGCAATTCAAGGAATCTAAGCTAGAGCATCACAATATTCTCATAGCATTTCTAGTGAAGATGGGGTGTGTGTTTTTGTGTGTTGGAAATCCAAGCTAGATAAGGCTTTGCAATACGGATCACGAAATTCTAAAAGAACTGTCGAGATGGGAGCAAAAGCCAGGATGGTTGCAATCTATAAAGACAGCAGGACTAGGTTTGCTAAGTTTTAACCCAACTATTTAAAAAATGCTTTCTTTTCTTTAAAGCTTCATAATTCAGTTCTTTCACACACACACAAATACTTTGAAATAATCACTTGGAAGCCACTAAAAATCAGTTTAAAATTGTTATGGAGGACAAACAAAAACAGCATCTTTGGAAAGTTGCTTGCAGAGCAGGCGGCTTCAGAAAAACCCAATTCCCTCATTACTTCTTTCAGGAATGGATTACTCACAAACCGAAAGACGACTTGCCATATTGGGAGATTAGATGCAAGTACATGGGCTACACTTACCCAAAGACCAAGGGGGGGGGGAATCCCAATTTGCCTTTTGCTGAGAGAAGCTATGGTGTGAGAGGAGGATCATTTGTGCATGTAAGTAAGGGAAAAAAGATAAGGGGGGGGGCAAAGACAGAAAAGCCAGCCACAACCTGAACGACAGTCTGAGGAACTCAACCTTTCCCCGAGCCCCCATAAATCAGGAGGGCTTGCCTTGACCCCTGGAGGGGCAACTTTCCAGCTTACAATAAACTGTGTTGGAGTTCTTGCACCTGCAACCTGGGCGATTGATCCGGTCGTAACACCCCCGGCACAGTTTCAGGCATCCTTTTGCTGGAGGATAGCAGAGCAGGCAAGGCAAAACCAAGGCCATGGCTCCCATGCACAAGTACCTAGTCCAGCAATGCGACTGGGAACAAGAGCAAGGATTATCTGCGTAGGAGTCCCCTTCATCGTCGTTGGAACAGTGGTAGAAGATCCCTTTGACCAGGCACATGCAGGTGCTGTATTCCACCATGCTCTCTGCAGAGCACAAGCACTGCCGGTTGCAGGCCAGGCAAGAAGGCAAGGCCCTGGGTGCTGTGCACTCCCCACACTTGCACTTCCCGCACTGTTCACAGATAAACTTGTGCTGGGCCAGGTCCTCTTTCAAAGGACTCTTCAGGTCCTCCACGACCAGAGACGATGGCTTGGGCTGCGTCCAGATGGGCCTTTCCAATCTGTGGCCCGGGCCTGGCCTGCACGGGGGCGACCTCAGGAGCAGGCCCTGCTCCGAGGAAGCGCTGCTGTTACTTCCAGAACTGGCTGCGCTGCCGGTGCTGGTCGACCTGCTGAGCACAGGAGCCCTGGCGTTGTGTTGATGCAGCGCGTGCCCTGGGTGGCTGGGCCGGTGCTCGTAATTATTATTCACATTAATCGGTATGTTTTCATGAGTCCTTTCGTGCTTCTCTTGCCTGGGAGCTGTCCGTGGGGCAGACTTCTTCACCACAGATGGGCCCTCCGTGTATTCGTTGCTGCCCCTGATAGTCTTGATCTGGTCTAGAGACAAGATCGTGGGGGCTGGAGCTCTCTCTCATAGTCCAACCTTTGCCGGCTGTCCAAAGAAGGCTGCTGAAGGACCACTAATGAACTGCCACTTCCATGCTGACCTTGGGACTCCATCTGTCGTGATCTCTACTTCTGGCATTCACCAGGAACCTGGCATGCATCGGAAATCCTAAAAGAGAGGCAGAGAGAAAAACAGGAGTTGAAAAGGGAGAAGTAAGCTGCTTCTCCTAAAACGAAAACACACACACACACACAGCAGCAGCAGCAAAAAATAAAAGACGCCACCCAAACAAATAAAAACATTTTACAGCAAGCCACAAATTGGCCTAACTACCTATTAACAATATCCCAGGGATGGAATTACACTGGCCTCGAGTAAAAGGGCACATAGCAGTTTAAAACAAATACGTATGTGTTATATGAGAGTAGATATTGTAAATAAAGCACACCGAAGATTAACTTACAGTTTAAGGAACGAAACAAAAATCTTTCATGTTTGCATAGCTTTTCTTTCCAAGCGTGAAGTTATGAGCGTTATGCATGCACATTTTATTCTTATAGTTATTTCATGCTACATCAAACATAGCTGAAGCTACTTCAGGTACATTCCCCCTTACGTCTAACCACCGACTGCAACATAAAATGTGCTTCAAAGCCACATTACAGAATCACATTCATGCCCCCAAACTGCAGGACCTGTAAGAAGTTCTTGCCCGTTTTCGCTGTCAAAGCCACATTCCAATACCAAGCCTGATTCTAAACTCAAATTCAAATTCAGCATAGCTGCCCTTTTAACGGCTATTCCATGACGCCTGAAGCATATTAGCAATGGGGAAAGCATGTGAAGAATTTTTTTCTTTTCTGGGAGTAAATATCTCTTTCCAAAAAATTTTTTTAAAAAATCAAAACAATCTAGCACGCTCATTAAAGCAAAACACCAGATGTAAACATCCTGTTACACAATAGGCTTCCAAGTATTCTTGGACCATAAGGCAGGGTGTGAAAGGAGGTGGTGGAGGCAGGAAAGGGTTGCAGCAGAAAAGATAAGACAAATAAAGTATGGCATTTAATCAGTTGTTTGGGAAGATTATGTGCACCTTCACTTGTAAGTGAAAAGTATGTTATCTGCTGCACAAAATAAGAGGGAGGGGAGGAATAGTTAGGCAGGATTCAAAATGGCGTATATGAGACCAGATAAGACATAAATGTGCTTTTTTCGTTTGAACCATCTTGGATCTCTTGGGACCACTATTGCAAGACGCTACTGAAGTGGTCATCTGTTAATTTCTGGGGAAGCCTTTTTTTTAAAGTGACAATTTGCTGTTCAAAATATTGTTTCAAAAAGAGTGAAACACTTGATTTGAAAAATGTCCCGCACATTCCTCCCCTGAACAAAACAAAGGGTTAATGTAATGTTACATGTAGTTCTATGTAACACACTGGGTATTTTAGCAGCCGTTTTACAGATCATACCAGCATGCGAGGTCAGCAGGACAAGTCCATTTTAGGCATAATGCAGCAAAGACTGAGTCTCCTGAAGGAGTTCATAACTGCGGAAAATTTGAGCCAGATAGCAGCTCACATGCTTAAGCGCTCCACACACCAGATGCCTTAGTTTTAAGATACTGCTTCCATTCCTTTATGGAGGTTGATTAAGGTGGGCCTCCAATATAGAACCTTAAATGCCATCTATTCCGACCCCCAATCAAAATAATAGTGGTGTTTATAAATAAATGTGGATCTGTCATTCAGTAATTAGACAAAAGGAAGTAAGGAAGCAACCAACATTTGGTTTCCAACAGCAAATGTCATGAAAACTGTACTGCCTCACAGATGAAGGACCACAACACCTCCCCACCTGTGTTCTTTTCTAAGGCATTTTAAAAACACCCCAAAAGAAATCATGCAGTAATTTAAAAGAGGGAAGAAAAAGTTTCTTTAATCATTACATTTGGGGAGGCGGAAGCAACGGACTGCTCAGGTTCACCCCACCTATCACCTGTTCAAGGTGTAGAGAGTGCAAGACAAAGAGCTCTGCTCAACTCAATCACACCTTATCTGCCTCACACAAGTTCTCCTTTTCATAGGCTTTTATAAAGAGCACAAGAGAATTCTTTCTATTGTTGTCCTTTTTGAAGAGTCAGTAGCTTTGCGCCATTCTTTGAACCAGACTGGGGTTCTTGGGATGTTAAAATGTAGGGTGGGAACTGCTACAGAGCTTCTTAGGAGGAGGGTGGGATAGAACTGTTTGCAAAAGCCACGCACAAAAAACCAGCCAGGTATCCTATCAGTATTTCTTCCTAAGCAAATCCCAAAGTGTTCATGGAGCCTTACTCCAGAACAAGCGAGTTTAGGATTGCAGCCTTAATTATTCCAACAAAATATAAAGGCTGGACGCAGACAACACAAGCAGCAGTTCAGTACAATCCTATGGCTACAAAGAAATAAATCTTACTGTGTTCCACAGGGCTTACACCCAGGTAAAGTATACACAGGACTGCGGTCTGTGACATCTATCTATCTATCTATCTATCTATCTATCTATCTATCTATCTATCTATCTATCTAATATTCTTAACTCCCCACCCAAAAAAGGCTTCCTTGTAAGACATCAGCCCTGCGTTTCTATCAGCAGCCTTCTAACAGCAGACTTCCCATTTAAAAGGGGGGGGGCGGGGAGGAGAGAGAAATGCTGTAGAAACTCAGCACTGAATGGACTCTCAAAGAGAAAATGAGAAAGCACCTCAACAGAGGCGATGAATGCAGAGCTGACAGAGAGGAAGAGGAAAAAGTTATGAATGAAAACAAGGGATTATTCCCCCCCCCAGCCTCCCCACCCACCCATTTGCAGGAGGAGGGGAAATGGCTGAGGTTACCATTACCTCAGGGGGACGGACTTTCCAGTACTTAAAGCTGCACTGCACACTCCTTTCTCTACCTTTCAAGACCAATACGAAAGTTGTGTGTGCTAGTTTGAGCATGCAGGGATTTTTCCCCCTCTCCCCCCTGGTGCTTTCTGAGGAGGCGGAGTGGAAGGACGGGGGAAGCCTTTTTATCTTTGTCTTACCCACCATTTCCTCCTTGCAGCCTCCACGCCTTTCTACTGACCTGCTAAAATCTCACTCAGACTCAAAAGGGGAAATCCCTGCCTTGCGGACTACGTTCAATGAAGCGCACACTCACACCACGAAGCAACAGCAGTAGGGAATCATCTCACTACGCTCCAACCACCAGTTGCAGCTACCACAAGACAAGCAATATTTTTGAACGCTTGCTGAAAAAACTACAGATAATAATACTAAGGATAGCCGGAATTTCCACCTGCCTCTAGCGCATTGAGACCATCTCTGCCTTGCAAGTGCGCTAGACCTCAGACCTTTTATATATATATAAAATAAAAATAACTATTTCACACAGATCCCTGAAAACTCCCACGAACCTGCACTGGCTAAGATGCAGCAGAGCTCCCTCCAGATACAGGATGTTAAGAGGCACCTAATCCACATTAAACAACTTGAGAATGGGCAAGCAACCCCAGGTGGAATCTAAGCCCTTTGCGCACTAAGCGAAGGTGCAAATGAGTGTTGATCACGTGGGATTCAAAACCAAGCATAAATTCCAACCCATGCCTACACAATCCTCGAGTTAGACAATGCAGCCATAATTCAAGTCACCCAAGCCACACACTGATCACTTCTTTCGGTGTAAACAAGCCCGCAGATAATGTCAAATAGGTTTCATGTCATTGCAACGAACACCCATGGAAATCAATGGATGTGTCAGCTGCCTCAGTGGGAGAATGCATGTAAAAAACAACAACACGCACACACAGGGTCTCGCACCTTAAGCCAGAGGTTTTGAGGAAGTGCATTAGCTAGTTCTCCCGCCAGAAGCACCTGGCAGCAGAGGTCGGTCCTCCCCCCTCTCCCCTGCTTTGATCCACTCCGTGTCCTCGTCCCCTCCCCGCAGAGTCCGAACTTATTCCTTGCCCGCAGCAACAAGTTCAGAAATCTCGCCTGCGCGCGTTGCCGTTCAGCAGAAAGCCAGCCGAGCGGCGCCCCCCCCCCAAGCGCCTGGGGAAAGAGGACGTGCGTCGTGTGGGAAACAGCCTTGGCCGCCGCCGCCAGCCCCCCACCCCACCGCGAGGGGAAGAAGAGCCAGCAGGGCACCTGCTAACCCCTCGGGCTCCCCCGGCGCGAAACCAGGCGGCGGCGGCAAGATCCATATTGCGAAGTGGAGGCAGAAGAGGACGGGCGCAAACTTACGTCTTCCAAGGGCCGATCCGCGCGAAAGCACTGCCCTGCTAGGTTAGATCCATAGGGCAGCGGGGCTCCGGCAAGTCTCCACGCGCCCAGGCGCCGCAATCCTCGCTGGTGGCCCCCGAGACCCGCTTCTTCGGCGCCCGCCTTTCCTGCTGCCGAGGCTACGGAGCGGCCGCGACGCCCTCGCGCGCAAGGAAATCCGCCTCGCCGGCCCGCCAAACACCTCTCCAGCCGAAGCACGCACATTCAAGGGGGTGCCCTACACGCGCCCCTCCTCGAGCTGGTCGTCCATGAGCCGAGCAGGCTTTTCTCCCAGGAGCAGCGACAGGCGATCCGGTGCGGGAGGGGGGTGGAGGCTGGAGGGGGGAGAAGAGGCGTCTCCGGCTGCCAGGTAAAAAAGGAGACCGAGCTGCTTTTGCAACGGCTGTCGCTCGCTCTGCAGCAATGCAAAGGCGCGCAGCTTGGAGAGGGTCGCCTGGAAGCAGCGGAGGAGGTGGGAGCGAAGAGTGTTTGCAAAGCGAGCTTGCTGCTGCTGCGGCGGCTGCGGCTGCCCTCCTGCTTTCCTCCAAGTTGGAGCTTTCTTCCCCCTTTTTTCCTCTCTCTCTCTTTCTTTCTCCCCCTCCCTCTCTCCTTTGGAGGCGCACGATTTCCCCTCCCAAGTAAAGCGCGCGTGCAGGCGAGCGAGTCCAACTGCTTCCTCGACTCCGAGCTCTTTTTCACCACATGGTCCTTCGCCCGCAGCAGCTTCCCCTCTCCTCTTAGGCTAGCCGGGGAGAGGGAGAGAGAAGAGAACGTGCAACGGGAACGCCTGGGAGAATAACAATAAAAAATAATATTTTTTTAAAAAAAAACACGACCTGAGCAAGGAGTTAAGAAAAGAAAGCACTGCAGGCACGAGAAGAGTGAATTCCATATGTAAGGGAAAGGGGGAGGGAGGCAATGGATTCTGCAAAAGCTGCCATGTGCTTGCTGGTGCAGACTGGTTGACAGTCTTGCTACACCACCAGCATGGGGCGGGACGGGGGACAGACCCCGCGGACATAATGCAAATCGGGGGTACGCACGCACACACACGATCTTTGCACGAGGAGCAAACGATCCCCTTGCATGGGGCGGGGTGGGGGGACTGCGGATTGCCGCGTCTTCTTCGCTCGAGGCTACTCGAAAGGTTCGCGGTGCACAACGCATTTAAGTCGCTGCATCGGACACCAGATCGCAGTGAAATGATACGAGGACGTGTTTTTGAAAGCGCCTTTTAAGCGAGCGGTGGGCTGCCTAGCTCAGCCGATATGCACGGGGCAGCCAGCAGCACCTGAGCTACTTCCGAAATGCCTCGCGCAAAAAAAAGGGGGGGAGCCCTCCAGATCACGCTTACCGAACGAACAGGTTCAGAGTCCTTTTGCAAAGCCCAATCGCGGCAGCTGGAGGTAAATCCAAGGACGCCTGCCGTTGTTGCCGCCGCCTGCTGCTGCTATCCCTTCGCCAACTGCTCTGCGCTTTCGCGTTGCTGTTTCAGAATGAGCCGAACTGCACGGCAGCCTTGCAGCGCCGAGCCCCCACCTCAGCCTCGCGTCACGCCTCCAATGATGTCAATCTGTCACTCAGGAAGCGGACGGGAAAACCTGGGCTGGATTTCTCTCTCTTCCTCCCCCCCCCTCCCACGTTTATACGTCTTGCTTATTCTTTCCCATTCATTCATGCGTTTACCAGTGTTTGTTTACCAGCCTTCTGCCTTTCTTTTGCATACCGCGAAAAAAGCGACGCAGACGGTCTTCCCCTATGGCGTTAGTCATTCACAGAATGTGGAAGGTTTATGAGTACAAAACGCAAACCCAAATCCTAAAGTACCTATTAAGATGACTTCACCCCAAACAGTTCTTTTTTGCTTATTCCAATGACCTCTGTGTACTCACGAGTGGGGGGGTGTTCACCCTTTCCGTCAACAGAGCATACACGCCTATATTAAGAAATGTACTCCATTGAGTTGAGGCACATTTAAATCCAGGTAACTGGGTATAGGATTGCAGCCTTAATTATTGTGATTATAGAACCAGAACCTGGTCGTTCTTTCAAATTAATTTATCTAGAAAGAGCATGCAATTTATTTATTTATTTTATTTAAACACTTTATCTACTCCTTAACTACAACAGTCTCCAAGTGGTTTACAGAAATTGTGCTCTTATAGAACAATCATGTGCATGTTTACTCAGAAGTAAGCTGCACTATATTCCCTAGTAAATGTGCATGCAGACTTATTGACATTTAATCCTAACCTTAAGGTAAAGGATCAAAATTGATACTGCTAATTTAAACAATAAATGTAAGTCCAATTAAATTATGTGAATATAATTTTGACTCATGAATGCTTTGCATGACAGTGCTTATTTTATTTATTAACTTTTTCCATGCCCTGGAATTGTACAGTTGTGTAAAATGGAATTAGATTTAGTCAAATAAAATTTGCTGCTCACAAATGCAGTAAAAAAAAAAAAAAGCTGAGGTAAAAGTAAACTACCTGTCCAGCTTCTAGGTATATAATTGGAATAAGCACCATCTTGTTCTTCTACCCAGATAGCAAAATGTCTTGGGCCTGTCATAAACATCTAGCAGTCCCTCTCAACTTCAATAAAAATCAAGCCCAGCCCTATTAGCTTCCTGTCAAATTTGATTGATATCAACGCAGTTTCAAAAGATATAATTTTGAATCAAGATGGTGGATTCAGTCTTAAGAGGGGTCTAAATGCTTGCAGTTTGGAACAGTTCAGTGAACCATCTTCATTCAAAATGGCATCTGCCGGTATCCAAACACAGGCCCAAAGTCGCTGCTCAATCTTCAGAACTGACATGCCAAATTGGGTGGCAATATCTTCTAAGGTGTCCAAATCAGTTCAGTTTGGAATGGTTCAGTCTGCCAACTTGATTCAAAATGGTGCCCAACAGTATACAGTTATAGACCAAAATCTGCTCCTCCATATTAGCATAGTTTGGAATGTTTCGGTCCACTATCTTGATTCAATATGGGGTCCAATGGTATCCAAACATAGACAAAATCTGGCTCCTCCATCTTGGGAAATGTCATGCCCAATCGCGTGATGATATTACAAGAGATTTTTGAGTGCATAGAGGACAGACGGACAAGCAACCTTCCAAAATACAGTAATTGTGCTGCTACTACTACTACCAAAGTCAGGGGTCACACTTTCTAGGGCTATAGAAATTTGTGACACGTTTAAGGACTGTAGATTTGACTGTACTTGTATTCGCTGGGAGAATGATGAAAGGTGGCTGCTCTAATTATAGTTGATAAAGGCACCAGAGGAAATCTATCATGACTGATAAATAGCACATCACTTCAAAAACAACCGAGGTAGAAATCTTGCCCATTTTTCCTCAAGCAGAAGCCACTCCCTGGGTGTGGAGTAAATTATCAAAGGAAGTGGGAGAGCTTTGCACTAATTTAAATAGATTGCTTTGTGTATGTTTATATTGTCCATTCGCTAGTGAAGACCTGGGATCTTTCTAATGAGGCTGTCTGGAACAAATCAGTTTACGGACTCTTATAACATGCCCTGCATCTCTTAGAACTGGAATGTCCATTATCCTTTACGTGGTGTAATATGTCACTGTCAGTTGAGCAAAATCTCAAGGGTACCTCAGTGCTGTGCGTCTGTCTGTAGAGAGAATCAGGTTTGCTATTTTGGCACACCCCAAATTTGCCAATCCTTCTGCTACTCTTTACTAATCCAAACAGCCAACAGAAGGTTAGCCCGTTCATTGTAGGTGCCACAATCCACAGAAGTCTCCTTCGTGTGCTTCTGAACTTGGAACAAGTCCTCGTCTGATGGTGATATAATAAATTTATTAATCAGGGATAGAAAACCAAGGCTGTTTTCTGTGGGCAAGTCCAGACAGGTGCTTTTTCTTGCAAATTGGTCACTCAGATCACATTTTTCTGTGTGCATGATTGACACACGCCCCTCCACACACTTTTTCACAGGTATCATTCTGCTGTTTCCCATCCACAACAGTGGGCGGTCCATGATGAAATATTTCAAGGCTCTTTTCTAACCCCTCTCCTGTTACTCCTCCTCCACCCCTGCTACATTTTACCATTCGGAGCATGTGTGCAGGTGTTTCTGCACCTGTGCACACACACACACCTTTAAAGTAATTTCCCCCCACAGGAAGAGCACTATAGCACACATTAACAGCCCCTCATTACTTTCATTTCCATTAGAGTTTTTAAAAATTTAAGTATTACTATAGAGGTATTGTGCAAGACTGATATTTTGCTATGCCACAATTCTGATAGCCATCGGTTCCGATAAGGAGATCTTTGGGCAGTTATTATCACCATTCTGACTTATGCACTGTGATTAGTCTCCAAGGCAGGCTTCCTCAAACGTGGCCCTCCATATGTTTTGAAACAATTCCCATAATCCCTGACCACTGGTCCTGGTAGCTAGGGATCATGTGAGTTGTAGGCCAAAAACATCTGGAATGCCAAGTTTGAGGAAGCCTGCTCCAAGGTAATTCCCCACATGTGCTGAAATCTTCACAGAACAGCACTGCCGAACTACGTTGATGAAATCCCAACATGTGCTCAATGTGCATCATGTGGAAATGGGCATGCTGCTAGGTTACGCTGAGGTAAAAACCAAGTGGAAGTTGGGGTGCAGCAATAGGAACCACCCAATGAAACACCACCACACATGTGACAGTCCCCTCCCCTCCAAAACCCCAAAATTGTGCTATTGAGTTTTCACAACAGCAGTGGATGTGTGGATAGATAATGGATCCTTTTTGCTTAGCGGTTTTTCCCAGCAAAAGGAAATCTGGAATAAAAAGCATTTTGATGATGACAACATTCTATGACAGTACAAAACACCTGCATGCATGAAGTCCACAATAAACCTGCATCTGGAAGCCACAGCTTCAAGCTTGAAGAATGGTTTGTTTATTTAAATTATTTCTAAACTGCACTTTGTCCAATGGATGCCAGGATGGTGTAAAATAAACATAATCCATGATTCATACAAATACAATAAAAACAGTACCCATGGGTGAGCAAATGCTACTTCCCTTTCTATGCTGCTTGTCCCAATCTGC